CCACTGATTTATTTGCACTCAAGAGATTCATGTGTGGGTTTAATGTGGCTGTAAACTTCTACTCTGAGCCTGGACTTTGGATTTAATGCTGCTGTTTATTAATAAATAAATGGAATTTAGTTGAACAAACAAGAGCTGTAGAGAGGCAACGTGCTAAAACCATTAGAAAGCACATCTGACCACACGAGAGCACCATTACAGGGAGACAAAAATCTGGAAATTAGTTTTTAAATAAAGCGTACGGTTATCTGGTGCAATAAATAATTTAAGGTTTGTGTGCCGAGTAAAAACTTTGACAGGAAAGAATCAAATATAACTGAGCCTCACGTTTTGAAGGAGGCAGTTTTCCATCTGGCACATCAAGCGGGGGGGGGCATCAACATCTGTCCAGCCTCACCAGATGTAAATGTTTAAAATAAATCTCCCATTGGTTTGACAACTATCTGACCAATAGATCTGTGGTCAAGTAGGGGGTTTAGCTTCCTCTTCTCTACATATACTCAATGGTGTTCCTCAGGGGCCAGTGCTGGGGCCGATTTTGTTTTTTATAAATAAATATATAAATAAATATATATATATATATATATATATATATATATATATATATATATATAGTTTTAATGTAAAATGTGCCTCATGCAAAACGTATTTTTTATGCAGATAGTTTTTTTTATTGTTCTGGTCTCTCACCTTACAGTGCTTTTAATCAATTACAGTTAGCTTTTAATGTTTTACAGACAAATCTTTATCCCATTAAGCTCGTTTTAAATGCAGATAAATCGAAAGTGATGCCGTTTTCCCATGGGAGATTTGAAAGTAAGGACCTTCCAGTCATTACTACAACTGAAGGTCTGAAAATTGAAGCATCACAGTATACATATTTAGGATTTTTAATAGACGATTCTTCGGCTTTTACTTCCCACATTCAACATCTAGTAAAGAAACTGAGATCAAAATTGGGATTTTATTTCAAGATCAGATCCTGTTCATCTTTTGAGGCTAGAAAGTGACTGGTTGATGCTACTTTTACGTCTGTACGAAACTATGGAGACATTTTATACACGCATGCTCCTCTTAAATGTCTTTATTTGCTGGATACTGTTTATCATGGAGTTTGAAGATTTAGAACAGGTTTAAAAGGTTTTACACATCATTGCACTTTATACAACCGGGTTGGATGGACGACCATGGCCACTCGTAGACTCTGCCATTAGCAAATTTTTATTTATAAGGCCATGCTAGTACTTCTTCCTTCGTATTTGTTGGCCTTTACAAAGAGAAAGTCAACCGGAGGATACTCTCTTTGTTGTGAGAACTTATTTTTACTTTCGGTGCCTAAAGTCCGAACTGAACTTGTAAAGAAATATATTCCGTTTTCTGCTCCATCTTCTTGGAACCAGTTGCAGAAATACATGAACCTAAAGGAGCTGTTGTCACTAAATGTTTTTAAGGCTGTTTTTACTGATTTTGAGAAGGAAAAATCTGTAAATGTTTTAACCGAGGAATCTTTTAATTAATTTATTTATGACCGAGTTAAATTGTTCAGTTTTTGTTGTGAATGTTGTGTAACCTGTGTGTGCTGCTGCCCGTCTTGGCCAAGATTATCTGGCAAAAGAGATTTTTAATCTCAATGGGACTGTCCTGGTGAAATAAAGGTTAAATAAAATAAATAAAAATAAATGGTTTCTCAACATCACTAAAGTAAAATCAGTAACATTGTGTGCGTTTTTTGTAATATATATATATGAAAAAATAGTTCTAGGGTGTCTGGTGTTGGGCAAGGCTCGCGTGACAAGAATCCCAAATTTAGCGCCATGAAAAAGGAGAAACTTGACAAATTTATATAGGGATGCACGATATTATCGGCATGGTATCAGTATCGGCAAATATTAGCGTTAAAGTTCAATATCGGATATCGGCCATTCCATCAAAATAACTCACAGATATAAAAGGCGTTGTTTTCGTATGACAACCCAGTGACAAGGATGCCTGCAGCACCAGCACAATGTGATGACGTCATGTACCTGATCCCACAACGGAGAGGAAAATTAAAAATGTCGGCGGTGTGGAAGGTTTTTTTTCTTTGAGGATGTCGGATTCCGAAGATTTTCGGACTACGTTGAGCCTCACTACATCGTCCCCAGTTGGATATTTTTCCGATGTAGACTTACCCGAGTTACAAGCCGTCAGTTCCAAGGCCATTGAGAAGCTAATAGCTGATAGTACGACTTGGGTGAGTTTTACCACATATCTGAACGTCGTGTTAGCCCCGTTAGCATGATTAGTCTTACGGCACAATGGATAGACAACTTTGAACTTAAAAAGTCTGTCCTTCATGCACAGGAGTGCAGAGGATCCCACACTGCAGCTATAGGAACCTGGAACAAACCTCCACAAGTGAGACAGCATCACAGGTGACTAATGTTATTTATAACATTTAACACTTTTCATTTAATATAAGTTAAAGTGCTATTCATATGGTTGTTACTGAATATATGTCACCAACTCTTACAACATTACACAATTTTTGTAACAAGTAAGCTTAAATAATAGGGCTATGTTCTCACAAAAGTATATAAAATATCAACATATTGGTTATCAGCCAAAAATCCAATATCGTGCATCCCTAAAATTATATCATGTATTTAAAATCACCAGCTTCATTTTTATGAATGTTAAACACAAACTTTGTAATACCAAATATTTTAGAAGTCTAAGCACATTAAAAAAATTAAAATATTAAGAAATCCTGAGTGGATTGTTAAGAAAAACATCCAGTGCGACTCCAACTACCGATGTATGGATATTACCAACACTACTTGTTTCTTAACCTGAAGCACAGGCATCACACAAATAATTGACAATAAAAGCACAATATATAGACAAACAACGATGTGATGATTCTGAACAGACATGAACCTAAAGAACACATTCATTCTACAGTCTAAATAAAACATGTATGAAGCATTGTGGGTAAAAGGTTCTTCTTAAAGACATCCAAAGATGCACAAGTTGACTAGATTTGAGCTAAATATACGGCCTGGATTTCATCAGAGACTTTAGATGGATGTCTGCTGCCAGATGAGATTAGCAAGAATAAATAAATGTGGATAACGGAGCTGAACTTAGAAGCTCTGGATCCTAAGCTCTTACGATGCATTACACGCTTGTCGACAAATTATTATACAGCAATCTATAGCAATGGACAAGCAAAGAGCAGGTATTAAAAGTCGTATTTGCCATCTTTGAGGAAAACTCAAATATGTATTTGTTTTGTATCTGTACTAATATTTACTACGGGTGCACTGGACTCAGCGTGGCAGCCTACCTTCCCTGTCATGTTATCTTACCCTCTACATCTTGATAGCCCTTTTGGCAACTTCCCCCTACGCTCCTCTATCTATCCATCTTTCCCCTCCTGTCTCACGTCCTGTCACTTCCCCGTCCATCACCCTCCCTGTCGGACTCTGCGGCCGACTGCGTGACATTTCACTGCTACACAAACACACACACGGGTTCGCGGTGTGTGCAAACAGGGATACGCTGATAGACATGCACATGCTTCGACAGAGACTGTACAGAAGATGATAAACAGAGCTAAAATGTCAATCCTAATTCCACACAGAGAAGAACAGGAGCTCGTCTCCTGTCAAACAAGAAGCTAAAGCTTTAATTTCCCATATATTGCAGTTCCACCTTTAATCTAAATGCTTTTGTATATTTAACAAGCCGATAAGTAAAGTTTACCAAAGCGGCAACCTTAAACAGAAACTGGACAGTTTAAAGTTAGTTTAACTATTGATAGTAAGAAAAAGAAACGTACTGATGGTTGAAGATTTTAGACTTTGATTTATCTCTCAGCTACAAAGCCCACCAGGTGCTCCGAGTCAAAACAACCACAGGCCGTGCAACCCACACCTCTATTCAACGCAATTACCCATCAGCGTTTTCTTTAGACACTCGAACTGAATTATTTTATAAACTAAAAACAACACGTTTAAATGGAACTCTCATGAAAACAGAATTGAACTGGGCTACATGTTCTCTATGAAGGATCACGAGGCTGACCAAGGTGGAGAATGGTGCTCGTGAGGAAGTCTCTTGAATGTCTTGCAAGTCTCACAACTTCTGTTGGTTAAGTTTTGAAAATGCAAAGAAAAAGAAAAAGAAATGGAAATTGTGCTGCAGTTTGTCCTCTGCTGCCAAACGTATCTCGAGAGCCCTAAAACCAAATGTTGACACTTGCATGGGAGCTCTCCAGTGATAGAATCAATGTCTAAAAACTACACAGATGACTAATCAGATGTACTGGTACGTAAAACTGGTACAGATTTACTTGTCTTACTCCAGCACGACAAATCATTGAGGGGCAAAAAGAGAGCCGAGGCATATACGATGCCAGCAGAGGTGGACAAATGTGGGGGGGTTGTTGGGGATTTTTTCAGCCTTGCAAATTGAAATACATCGTGATTTTGCACAAGTGGCCTTTTTTAAAAATGCATCTGAATTCAGTGCAACTTCAATGAAAAGTTTGTCCATTTCCTCAGAGTTTTGAGTCACCAGCTGATCAACAATCCCAGAACAGCAAAGTAGTACCTTAAGGTCACAGTGATCTTGTTGGCACCGCAATAGGCCACACTAAACAAAATTAATCAAACATTACACCATTAAGGTTCCACTGCTTAAATTCCATTAAACACCAACGTGAATTTAGGACAGTAACCACCACATATAATCTAAACTCGATCAGTTCGTCCTGAATTTGTTCTCAAACAGTTTGAGACCATCTCACAGATTACCATCCTATTAAATTTTGATTTCAAAAAACTTCTCATCTCAAAACAAAGTCTTCCTTTAAAAGAAACAAAACCGCTTGAAAAGTCCAAATACTCTCAACCTTCAAGGATCAAAAGCGACTTCAAATGCAAATGGAACATGAAGAACGCCCACGTAGCCTCGCTGCCGGCGCAACACTTGGCACAAGCAGCGGGTTTTCCTACCTTGACCCCTCGCACTCTGAACTCCGCCAGGGCTCGGCTCATTTTGGATGCGGCCGTGTGCAGGTCCTTTCCGCTGGCGATGACTTTAACAAGCAGCGAGTCATAGTGAGGTGAGATGACGGCACCCTGGAAGGCGGACGCGCTGTCCAGACGGATCCCCATACCTTCACCGCTTCGGAAGACCTGGCAGAGGCGACAGACATTAAAGGGTTGTTGGACAAAAACAAGGTTTTATGTTATAAACCACAGTTGTTAACCTCCTCTTCTTGTATGCTATATACATCAAAACTGAAACCATATTTTGTTTGAGATTTTCAACCTGTACACCTCTTTTACTGATTCACTGTGTACGTTTTCGTCCTTAGACATAGTTTTGATGGTATATGAAGGAAACCAATTGGTTTTCTTGTACCCAGATGAAATGGAAGAGTCATAATGTCCTCCCTCATATTCAGACAGACTTCGGTTTGATACAATAAGAACATACAGGGAGAGCCATTAAAAGGTACATTACTCAGCACTGTATTACACGTTTGATTGCTCCGATCCATTAATGGCACACCCTTTATTTTCTCGCCATAAAGGCATCTCAATTTACACCCACCGATAAGGCTCGAATGAAAATTAGCTCAGATGTTCAAGCCAATTCTGTTTTTCACACTTGTGAGGAGATGTCTGCCTTAAATTTTAGCGCTCAGTAAAACATTAATTAAAACTGGCTAGCACAAATGAACAATACGGTGTGGAAATAAATATTTAAACATGCTGCAAGAGTGTTGTTTGCAAAAGTGGTTTGAATTACTTGAATTAAGTAGTAAGTGATTTCCAATACTTGCTAATGTCTTGTAGAACCTAGTTAGATGTGAAAGTTATGTTTATTATCTTCACATTAGTACCTGGCCTATCAATGGCATTTCTCAGTTTTAATGTCTTAGTATCGACTTTGAACTCTATACAAAAATGTTTAATTCACATTAGATAGTTTCAAAGGGGATTTAAAACTACAAGACAGTCTTGTTCAAAGTGTTACACATTTGTATTTTTATACCATCAGGTGAATAATTATATTTAAAAAAAAACCTCAAGTTCAGCAATTTAGTGGGTGATTGAAAAATCAGACTGTAACCCTTACATTGATATCTAAATGATATCAATAACTTCAAGTAATTACCTTATCTTCTCTAATCTGCATTAAAGCACAGGGGTCAAAAGATGTTGGGATTGAAGACCCCAAGGTCTGGATGGATGAAGGTGTAAACAGCACCACCCATCAAGTCAATATTCCATGAGAATCTTTCACTTGGGAGTTACAAGCACCAAATCTGGCATGAAAAATGCCAACTGTGTTCATAAAAACATGGTATCGACCTAAAAATCAAAGATGGCAGTGATTTTTTTTTTTAAATGAAGTTTTAAGAATGCATTCATTATAAATATATATATATAC